AGAACCATGGAGGACCACAGTTATTATGCAGAAGTCCAGGGTCATAGCAGTGAAGTGTCAACATCACAAACCACACACACAAAGACAGCGTTAACACAACAGGAGGCACATTGTGTAGTGTTGTATTTATAAATACGTGACATTCTAAAACCATGTGTTTTATGACCTGTCGACCACTGCGTGGGAGGCCAGTCTTTTTAATATGAAGCTCTTCGCGAAAGTTCACTGTGGTAGACCCGGCCACTGCTGCCAGATCTACAAGCCTGCTCATCCTCTACTCATTACACCAGCAACGCCCACATCTAATCCACCAATAACCACCAGGACAGCAAGTTAAAAGCCGGAGACGCCCACTTCCCAGCCTTCTGAAGTTTGCAAAGCCTCCGCCGCCCCACCTCCTCCGTTTCTCATCGAAGCGTGCTTGCCTACTGCCTCTGCCGCCACCAGTGCCTAGGCCCCGGGGGGGATCATGCGCGCGAGCAAGCGCCGCACTCAACAGCATCTCTCCCGGGCCTGGGGCGCCAAACATACTCAATCAACAAACTTCTAACTGCATTTTCCCTCTTGGGTCTCTCCAAAGTGAAATAATTTTAGGGGTCTACTTGTGCCAGCAACTAAACAACAGGTGGTTTCTACTGTTTGCCCTAAGCCTTGGCCCCTGCTGACTTCTGCACTATTGAACCCACTCCATCAGGAGTGGGTTGACGACTGGAGTCTGCCAGTCTACTCAGATTGACATATGATAAGACACATAACCTTTCTTAACATATATTTACTTCATATTTTTGGTGATTTCCTGTACTTGGATATTAGATTAATTAGTGTGATGTGTTTGTACTGCACATGCAGGTCAGTTCTGTAGGAAAGCGGGCTGTTGGGACTAATGAGGGGATTTGTTTAGACAAGCAGGGATGAAGCCAGACCAGAGACAGCTGCCCGGAGACGTAGGTTAGAAAAGCATGAATTCTTTTTAGGTGCGGACGGGGGACGAGAAGAACAGATGGTGGAAGGCAGACCCTGAACCGGAAGCTGCCTGATAGGACACGCCCCTCCTTCCTGTTCTTTTTATATGCTCTGGCTGGAGGCGGGAACTGGAGATCAGCCCAGGGCCAGAGAGGGACATGGATTAGTTTTTAGGAGCTTGTTGAATTTCTGTTATCTGATTGTAAAGATAAATTAAATACAGATGTTAAACTTGAAGATCTTTGCCTTACTTCTGCATCCATTTTTGAACACGTCAGTCAAAGGGAGTTATTGACTGCAGTAGTTTGTACACAACAGACTCACACGTGAACAATAATAAACTTTTCCACACTGATAATAAAGAGAACGAGGCAGAATCTGCGACACAGTCTCAGGATGTTCTGACCCGGTCCAAGCACAGTCCAATTACTATGTTAGTTTCAACTAAACTTATTCAGGGACAAGCCTCAAATATGCAAAACACAGAATCCCCACAAAACAATTGGCAGAATACTTTATCAGCAGCGTGAGAGAATGTTCTGTTTTCTTACCTGGTGATGCAGACGGGGCGCTGTGGCTAATGCTAATGCTAACATGAGCTAATGCTAATGCAGTGGCTAACGCTAATGCTAACATGAGCTAATGCTAATGCTGGTGCTAACGCTAATGCTAACATGAGCTAATGCTAATGCTGTGGCTAATGCTAATGCTAACATGAGCTAATGCTAAGGCTGTGGCTAATGCTAATGCTAACATGAGCTAATGCTAATGCTGTGGCTAATGCTAATGCTAACATGAGCTTTGCCATGTCCTGCTGCTGCTGTCTCCTGTTTCTTTGATCACCACAGTTTTAACCTCACACAGACTTTATTCCTCCATGTGTCTCTTCTCTTCACACCGCGTTTGTAAAACTATATATTATAATAGATCCATAGTTAAACTATATATTATAATAGATCCACATGGTAAAACTACATATTATAACAGATCCATAGTAAAACTATATATTATAATAGATCCATAGTTAAACTATATATTATAATAGATCCATGGTAAAATTCAGTAGAGCCTCTGTGTAGGGTGCTGCGTCTGAACGTGGTTTTGTTTACATGTCGGCTCCACGCGTCTGTCAAGTGCCCGAGACATTTGGAGAGATCCTGTCATTTATCAAACTAAAGTATTCTTTCCTTGGCTTCCTTGGAGAGTTGAGGAGCACTGTCAAACAGTATACATAGTTCCCACATGACGTCACTACATACGGGGATTTGCCGACCCGGCGCCATTTGTCTTGGCATGCTGTGGGCAAAACAATAGAAAAAGAAGCTGAAACGTGTTAATGTCGTGATAAAGTTGAAAATGGTCATCTCCTGCTGGGTCAATGGAGAGTTCAAATCGTGCCGGAGGTTCCGTTAAACTTGGATTTTACAGTATACCCATCATTAGACTTCATGAATGTGAGAAGACTAAGCTTTTGTCAGAACAACCACGGAGGTTATGGCTTGCGAAGATAAACAGGCAAGAAACTCCCTCAAAACACGCAAGAATATGCTCGGAGCACTTTGTGTCAGGTGCGTATCGTATCTTATAATGTGTTGACAGACGTAATTTACTCAGTACTAACTTGTGTATGCTGATAGCTGGTAACTTGAGAGTTTCATTATTTAGATTACTTTATTATGAGGAGGATCGGTGTCGCGTCCGAGGCTCTCGAGGGCAACGTAAATGTATTAAATAGATAATAATAGTTCTATGGTGGGCTAAAACAATGTTCACAAACAGCATTGCTTCTGTAAAAAGATCTTTGTCATAAAATAAACTGCTCTTTACGCCTGGAAAAATCAGTTGCTCACCATTCACCAAAACATACGGTCAAAAACGCGGAAATAAACAATAACAGCAATCCAGAGTGTCCGTGTGGCATTAGCATTAATTAAATTAATTGTTAATATAATTAAAATAATTAAATGGAGCTCCAACTGGTATTAAATCTAAAGTTTTTGAGAAATGTTTGCATTGCTTGTTAATTTTTGCTGCATAATTTGATCAAATATGTAAAACATGTCCGTAGCACGTTAAACTGTGGTGCCATTGTATTAATATACAATTATTTGCTCAAAAGTTGCCCTTTTTTTCCAATTTGCGTTTGAATATCTACATTTATTCTCATTCTTCTGTTTAATGGAATGCACAAACACAGCAGCGTGCCATCAAAGATGGCGTCTCCGAGGAGGTCATGTGACATTCATTGGTCTGTGGGAACTATGTATAGGCAAAAGTCTCCTTAACTCTACAGGCACCCGTACTCAAATCTTAATATATGAGACTGCAATATAAGATCTCAACGCTAGAGGCACTAGAAATTACACAGTGTACCTTTAAGTTCTTTGAAGCAATGCCATTCGATTGTGTCGTGTTTCATTTTGCTAACAACAAGTAAGTAAGTAAGTAAGTTAGTAAGTTTTTATTTATTTGTTATTTGTTTTTATATTTAACAACAAGCGTGACAAGGACAAATTTAGTTTTTATCGTTTCCCCGACTTGTTTGGTTTACGTTTTTGTTTGTTTTGTTTTTGCAGATTTGAAATCCATCTCGCAAATTGGAATATAGGGCACTTGTTTGACATTAGGTTGGCGTTGGCATGACCCACTTGCTCTTCTCCTGGGTACAGGGAACTGAACCCTCCTTCTACTGCAAACAACAGTGCTCCACAAACAAACAGCTTCATGAAGGCCAGCCATGCTGCAGTGCGCCAACATAACATTTCCGTCATTCTCAGCCACAAACCAAGTTGTCAATGGTGTTTCTCGCGCTCTCTGGGACTGGTTGATTAAAAAAGAATGAAACAACCATCAGCAAACAGCATTTGTAGATACAATATATAAAAGACGTGTGACGTCATAAACATTAAAATACAAATATAAACTCAAAAATGACTGATACATTATCTTTATTACTTACCCAAGCAAAAACAACTGACTCGTCAACACAAACTTGCTTTGTCTGAAGCTTGTTCACCCAGCCTGACACCAAAAAGTTGTCAAATCAGTAACCCACCAACATGGCGGATGCTGATTACGTCATCAGTTTTGGTCACGTGGTTGAAAGTCATCTAAATGTGGTTTTTGTTATCTTTGCATTTCCTGTGTTTTAACTGTTTGATTTTTTAATCTCTGTTGGAAAATCAACAAATTTGTAAAGTCCAACTACAATAACTTTTGAACAAAGGTGCATCATTCGATCAAGGCTATTTTTGTTTTTGTGTGAAAGATTCAAGAACCAGCACAAAAGGCTCTCGACTTTCGGCTTATATCAGGTGTTTAAAGTTAAACAAGAGATACTCACGTGTGTTTTGCATTATCTGAACACAAAATGAGAATGGTGCAGTGGTTAATGCTTGTGCCTCACAGCATGAAGGGTTAAATTTCACCTCCAGACCTTTCTGTGTCGAGTTTGCCCATTCCCCCCCTGCATAGGTTTCCTATGGGTGCTCCATTTTCCTCCAGGTTCTCGGGTTTCCCCTTCTACTAAAAATAAGTACAATAGGTCTGGTATGTTCCTTCGGTATGGCGACCCCACTCCCATCTCTGTGTGGAGTGAGAGATTATTCCCACAAAAATTGTAAAGTGCTTTGTGACTCTGGTCTGTGAAAGGCACTGTAGAAATGAAGAGCCTCTGAATGCAATGTTCCAATTATTTGGCACCTGGGGAAAAGACTATTAGACTTTGCTTGTTTAGTACAGTCTGCATTTTCAGCAAATGCAACCACAGTGAGAGCCACAGTCTGCGCTCAGGGGCCAACTTGATCCTGGCAATGTTCAGTGAGAAGGTGTGAATGTGCAGAGCCTTCATGTATTCCCTGTGGACGCTGGTGTGAGGAGGAAATGGTTTCTCCCAAAGATTCCTGCACAGTGTTCCTGCATGTTGTGTGCCAGACTCCACCGAGGCACTCACGTGATGGGCTGCATATCTATATGAATCACCCATGTGCAGTAGAGCAGTGTGAATGCGAGGCTGACTCCTAGATCATCGTGTTCCAATGATCACTTCTTACATAACTGTTCCTCAGTGGAAGATCAGGGGTGAAAGGGTGAGGAGGGGAGTACCTGGATATAGTGACAGACTAAACTGGGATCTGGAGTGAACAGATCAAACCCATGTGATAGTCCTCAAGATGACTCCATATGCAACTATATTGGACATGCACTATTAAGTGTAATTGTAATGTCCTGAGTGACACATTGGAGTATGATCGTTTTTATAAGGCTGAGATCGGAGCCTGTTGCAGATAGACCAATTTGGAATGTCCTGTGCATGCCTGTTCCAAGCTGCTCTGAAACCAGAGCCCGGGCCTGCCTCATGCACCCATGTGAAGTCACCTCCGTTAGCTTGTCCACATTTACAAACAGAAGATACTTCCCTCATTATTGGGATGTTACACTACAGATAACACAACACCTACAACAATAACATTAATTCATTGGTTTTGTATAGCGTTTATCTTTTGGACACTCAAAAGCTCAAAAATATCCTAATTCTTTCACTCCATCCTACTACTGCAGCCACAGCTGCCCAGGGTCACACTGACAGAAGCTAGGCAACCAGTATGTGCCATTGGCCCCTCCCACCACCAACCATTCACACACACACCAGACTCATTCTAGGCAATATGGGTGAAGTGTCTCTTGACACAACAGTTTGGCACTTTATTAATCCCTGTAGAGGAATTCATCCTCTGCATTTGACCCATCCTGATGCTGCTAAGGCTTACGTCAGGAGCAGTGGCCTTAGTACAGCACCCAGGAATCCATCTCCAGATCTTGATGCTCGGCTTGGTCAGGACTACCAGAGCTAGAGGATTACACGTAGTGTGCATGTTTTAGTTGTAGGGTAAACCAGAGCACCCAGAAGGCCCTGTTCTGACCAGGATTTGAACCCAGGACCTTCTTACTGCCTGCTTAGCTTCACAGGTCTGACAGGATCTGGATGTCTCAAGCAGGTATACAGCCCATGTGTGGCAATATATCGCAGAATTGAATCACAGTACTGTATCAAAATGTTAAGTCGCAATAATGTGGCCCATATCGCAATATTATCGAATCATCACATTCATGCCAGTTTCCACCCCTAGCTTTAAAGTGTGTGTTCATTGTGTATGTGGGAGGTTCTATAGTGCGTGGTCATGCTGTATGAGGGATATGGATAGTAGTGACTCTACTAGCTTAAACACATTTTTCAGTAGCGATTTTAAAAAACAAGTACTTTTCTGAAGCTAAGCTTTTTGCTGGATCAAGTGGCGCAGTAGCATCCTCAATAGCTATTTTCTCTTGGACACTTCTGATGTCCGCACATGACAGCATTTCCTAATATCCACAACACAATCAAATTAGGAAGACTGGATGCTTAGGTGTCCTCAACAACACGCCGGGTACAAGTGTGAGCTAGCTCAGCTTGTAACCCTGAAAACTAGTGGACAAATGTTATTTTTATTTATTTATTCTATTTGGACATAACAATAACATTGGACGAACCAGATGCATTGCTGTAAGTGTTATAGCACAGGTGCTAATTTTCAACACTAGTCCACAGGGGCTTTTACATTACAGAAGATAAAAGACATTTAAAAAACAATTGCAATATAATATACACGTGAGAACGAGTCTGTCTTAACCACTGTCTGAGCTCTGCTGAAGATCATGTTAGTCTGTAGTTTCAGTCCGGTTGGGAGAGAGCTCCACAGTTTAACCCTAAAGGAGAAGCTGGATTGTCCAAAAGATGTTTTGAGCTTTGGGAGCACACAGTCCCCACTGACGGCGCCTCTGGTGGAGGCTCTGACGGAGCCTCTGGTGGAGGCTCTGACGGAGCCTCTGGTGGAGGCTCTGACGGCGCCTCTGGTGGAGGCTCTGACGGAGCCTCTGGTGGAGGCTCTGACGGAGCCTCTGGTGGAGGCTCTGACGGCGCCTCTGGTGGAGGCTCTGACGGAGCCTCTGGTGGAGGCTCTGACGGCGCCTCTGGTGGAGGCTCTGACGGAGCCTCTGGTGGAGGCTCTGACGGAGCCTCTGGTGGAGGCTCTGACGGCGCCTCTGGTGGAGGCTCTGACGGAGCCTCTGGTGGAGGCTCTGACGGAGCCTCTGGTGGAGGCTCTGACGGCGCCTCTGGTGGAGGCTCTGACGGAGCCTCTGGTGGAGGCTCTGACGGCGCCTCTGGTGGAGGCTCTGACGGAGCCTCTGGTGGAGGCTCTGACGGAGCCTCTGGTGGAGGCTCTGACGGCGCCTCTGGTGGAGGCTCTGACGGAGCCTCTGGTGGAGGCTCTGACGGCGCCTCTGGTGGAGGCTCTGACGGAGCCTCTGGTGGAGGCTCTGACGGAGCCTCTGGTGGAGGCTCTGAGAGCAGACTGGCGTTTCAGCATGAGCCCAGAGAACAGAGGTGACACACAGTTGTTCACACAGCCATTTTTAAAATAGAAAAATTTACAAAGTTGTTGAAAGTAAAAAGTTTGTGCTTCTGTATGATGTCACAGTGATTTCTCATTGGTTTCTTGTCCATGATATTAATTGTCTGTTTGTACAGAGAGGTTGCTGGTTTGAGAATGGAAGCAGATGTTTGAGACCATGCAGTGACACAACAAGACAGATGTGAAAAGACCATTGCGTGGCTATATAATACAGGTGCATATATAACACAGCTGCCTATATAACACAGGTGCATATATAACACAGCTGCATATATAACACAGCAGCATATATAACACAGCTGCATGATGTGGTAACTCTCTTCTGATAAAATGAAAACAGTTAAGATTGGATTTGACCTTCTAACAAACACCCAGGTATTTAGTTTCATCCACCTCCTTATTGACTTCGTTAAGACTAACCTCAAAAAAACTATTTAGAGACCTCTTGTTGACAGAAAAACAAATGTTTTCTTTAAATGTAATGTTAGATGGGACTGTATTACCCGTGTTGAGGTGTTGTTGAGGCCTGTGTTAACTGCTGCCCAGCCAGAGCTGATGTTTTAGCTGACACATGAATGACTGTCGTCAGCATAGAGCTGACAGTTCACATCCTGACAGCAGTCTGGTAGGTCATTGACATAAATGGAAAGCATTTGGACATAGATTTGATTTAACGGCCCCAACCTTCACACACTGTATTCTACTCAACAGAGCTGCCCATGACATTTGATGCAGGGGTTCACTGTGTCGAAGGCCTTCTTCAGGTCTAAGAACACAGCACCCACGACATTGTCTTTGTCCAATGAACCTTTTATCTGTTCTAACTGGTAACAGTTGGCAGTTTCTGTGCTGTATTTCTGTCTGAGGCCAAACTGCTGCAGATGCAACAGTTGGTTTGTATCTAGATGTTCCACCAGTTGTTCTGCTACAACTTCCTCTAGAACTTTAGATACTACAGGAAGGATGGCAATAGGCCTGTAGCTACTGGCTTGGTCTATATCACCAATGGTCTAATTCAATCATTGCAGCTTCTTACTCTTAGGCCCTGTCCACACGAAGTCAAGCTCAGGCCTAAACGCAAAAATACTTTATCAATCCAGTGTATGGTCCATACGAGGCCGGCGTTTCGGGGGGGGTGTAAACGAACATTTTTGAAAGTAGGTCCCAGAGTGGAAAGATTTCAAAACTCCGTATATGCCGCTCCGTGGTTACTGCCTCTCCGCAATGTATCTGAGACGCTTGCGTCATCGCCCCGCCTCTTGTTAAAGCAGCATGCGCCGCACTCAGAAAATAATGACAACAACAATGTAGCTTGTTGGTTTTGTAATCCAGTGTGACCCGAAGCAACAGTTCAACCTCATCGTCCGTCCATACTAATGTAGTACCAGCTCCCACACTCGCCATGTTGTCTGTTTACTAAATTCTGCGCATGCCCAGTTCCCGTCACGGAAGTTTGGGCTTGATCCCGTCATTGCGTCACAGCGCCACCAACAGGTCTGGCATAGTTTCACAGCGTTTTCAGGCGTATTGACTACATTCATATGGACGCACACATTTACTGAGCTAACTCCGTGTTTACAGAAAAAGTTTCTGAAATTATAAGCGTTTTGTCTTCGTGTGGATATAGCCTTAATCTGTAGTGTGTTAATGGGTAGGTGGGTTTGCTCATGCTGTTTATGAGGGAGCCCCCTATAGTGAGCTCTTGCTGTATGGGGGAGCCCCCTATAGTGAGCTCTTCCTGTATGGGGGAGCCCCCTATAGTGAGCTCTTGCTGTATGGGGGAGCCCCCTATAGTGAGTTCTTGCTGTATGATTAAGTTGAGAATATCCCGGTGGAGGCCCTTTGGGTTGCTTGTGTCATGGCGTGAGGCCGGCTTCCCGTGTATCAGCAGCTTAATTGATTATGAGCCTAATGGAAGCACAGCCCCGGGGCCGAGAGACCGGACAAGAGCAGAGGGGAATGAAAGTGGAGCTGCAGCTGTCGCCGTGTCTCTGAGAGTCTCGCACACATGATGGTTGTTGCCTTTTAGAAACTTATCCCGGCTCCAAAGGTTCTCTTGGACCAATCATCAGAGGGGTCCTCACAGCCATAGGGCCAATGGGGGTACACATGGGGGTTTATAAGCTAAGAGCATGACCTAGCAGAGCTGGGCGACCCTACACTGGGTGGACTGGACTTGATCACAGGATCTGTTTACTTCTTTTCTCCTGAGCAGGTAAAATCAGTTTGTTTTTTCAATCAGTGTTTTTTCATTGTGAATGAAGGTTGAGTCACATTTGACCCGGATTTATTCCTGGATTCTTCTGCAAATGTTTCTCATGGGATTTACTTTGGTGCTGGTTTTCAGACGTTTGGGATGGGACTTGGAAGTGCAGTGTGCAGACAGAGCAGGGACAGCTGCTGCTGACGCCAGCAGGACGACTGAACATGTGCTATCACATGAGCCCAGCCGGATTTAGTTTGACCTTTAGGTGCAACAGGTGTCCCTCTACTCTGAGGTTATGTGTCCCAACCAGGGGCGCAGGGACCTGTGGGACAGGAACAATTGAATGGATCTTCTATGGATCATTTTGCACATAAATATAAAAAACAAAATAAAACATTCTATAACTGACAGATGACTAATGAAGTAAAGCTTTCTCCCGTGGTGAGTTATGGTTAGTACAAGAGGACCTTTAGTGGCATGCAAGACACAAAGGTTGGGGGCCACTCTGTGACACAGGACAGCATAGAGCTGCAGGGCTCAGGGGCCCCTACCCCTTTGATAATATGTTTATTTGGAGGTGTGTGATACTCATACTTTGTTTTTCAGACAAACTGATAATCGCAACCATGGCAAAGAACTGCCATAACGATTACAAAATGAAGTTCTCTCTGGACGATGAGTTCCCAGATCTGTCCCTGCACAATAACCACATGGCTAAGGTTTGTACACATTTAGTACCCAAATATACTACTACAGTACACATATTCACACTACACTACACTACGGCACATGACCTTCACACTGAGCCTTGTGTCCCATTGCAGGTGCTGACCAAGGACATCTATGGCAAGCTGAGAGGCAAGTCCACCCCCAGTGGCTTCACCGTGGATGATGTCATCCAGACTGGAGTGGATAACCCAGGTAAAGAAACGCATATGCACACACACACATAATAAAAGGCTGTAACAAGTTCTTTAATGAATCATATGTTCAATCTTTAGTGAAATATTTGTATTTATTTAGCTATACAATGATTTTTAGTACCACACACTCATGAAGAAGCTGTCCTCGAGCAGCTCGATCATGTGTTCATAAAAGTACAGTATATAAACATGTATTTCAAAATCCCTTATTCTAAGATAATCAATCAACGCAAATAATCAGTGCTATTTGATTACCAAAATAGTCATTAATTCCAGCCCTAGTTAACCTTAAGCGTTCCACAGTGTGAGGTCCTCAGTAAGACTAGATCCTAGATCACAGCTCGACCTTCTATGAAAACACTCACCTTTACAACTTTTCTTCTTCACAATCTGTGGCTTTATTCCCGTAAATCTCCAGATACATGAAAAAAAACGAACTCCACAATAGAAGAGTGGTGGTTGTAGGTTTGTGCTGACCAGAGGTTTGTGTCCGACGCAGGTCACCCCTTCATCATGACTGTGGGTTGTGTCGCTGGTGATGAGGAGTCCTACGAGGTTTTCAAGGAGCTGCTGGACCCCATCATCTCTGACCGTCATGGTGGATACAAACCCACCGACAAGCACAAGACTGACCTCAACTTCGAGAACCTGAAGGTATGAAGCAGGCAGAGAGAGCACACGGAGCGATTTCATTTCACTTGAAAGGGAAACTGGTTGGCAAAATGCTGCATGGAACAGGAAGCTGAAAACCTATGAATAGACTGCATTCAACACAACACTATCTCAGAGTTTGTATACACTTCATTATCAACTGTATGCACCATTGAAATTGGAGTTCGATCTTCTCAACTAATTAAACTATGGTAAGAAAGACATTTGATTTTTTCCTGATGTTTCTTTGTGTGGTTTTGTGGTTTGAAGTCCTTCATTTCTTGGGTTTCATAATTTCAGAGAGTCTTGTTGTGAACCAATAAGACCGTGATATGGTCTGCATCTTATTATAAAACATGTTTACATAATTATAAGAAAAAGCCCCGTAGGTCACTAGTTTAGGCTTTAGTCTGAGAGTGACTGGGTGGTCCTCACTTTACTTTTCTGTCTGAAAATGGTTCATGAGGGTAGGGGATTATATTATGCTTGGTTTGATAATAAGATGCACCAACTTTAGTGATGGCGCTGCTCTTCCCCCTCCCAACGCAATTCTGTCAAAACCTGGATACTTGGGCTCAGAAAAATATGGCAAACATCCCATTACCAGATTAACCAACAGCGAGTCCTGACCAAGCCATTGACTTGATTGTGATATCGCATATTGACTATGCTCATCCTCTTTTGTGTTGTATTTGTATATATGCCGTTCTATATATAAATATATATATATATAAAAAAGAAACCCTCAATATAGTTCAAATGGAATTGCATGAAATTAATATGGGAACATTTCACTTGTTGAATCAAATGTTTGATACTACATGCAGACTCGTATATGGAGCGACTAAAGTATGGGGTACTCTGTTGTCAAAGGTACAATGCTGTTATCATTTACATAAAATGTGCAGACACTGACAGTAGATTTTCATTTTGTTCTAATCAAAACGTACAGCCGACTTTGCTGAATTACAGCTCATATGAACACGTCAGTCCCAGACAGCATGAGTGAGTGGTGTTTGTGCTCAGGGCGGTGATGACTTGGACCCTAACTATGTGCTGTCCAGCCGCGTGCGTACCGGCCGCAGCATCAAGGGCTTCACCCTGCCCCCCCACAACAGCCGTGGAGAGCGCAGAGCCATCGAGAAGCTGTCCATTGAGGGTGAGTGCCTGATCCCCTAGTGTGACTCCCTAGTGCAGGAGTTTTAGTTTCAACCTCCGCAGGAGCACACCAGACTCCACCCATTTTCAGTCCAGATTTAACCTGAAGATTTGAGGAAATGGGTAGGGTCTGGTGGAGGTTGGAGCTAAAACCTGAAGCCTCACCAGCCCTTTCTGGAACCAGTTTGTCAACCATGCACTAATCTGGTCACTGCTTGTCAATAGCTGGTCTGGTACCTGACTATAGTCTTTCTGTTGCCCAGCTCTGGCCAGCCTGGAGGGAGAGTTCAAAGGAAAGTACTACCCCCTGAACGGCATGTCTGATGCCGAGCAGGAGCAGCTGATCAATGACCACTTCTTGTTCGACAAGCCTGTGTCCCCCCTGCTGACCTGTGCTGGCATGGCCCGCGACTGGCCCGATGGCAGAGGCATCTGGTCAGATATACTGTTAGAGCAGACATACTGTGTCTGCTACGACCGTCACATGACCGAGTGTTCTGCACAGGCACAACGACAACAAGACCTTCTTGGTGTGGGTGAATGAGGAGGATCACCTGAGGGTCATCTCCATGCAGAAAGCCGGCAACATGAAGGAGGTGTTCAAGCGATTCTGCGTGGGCCTGCAGAAGGTATGTCCACTTCCACACTGTCCAACTGGCAGCTGTACCAGCCCTGACCCCCACTGCCCTGTGCTTTCAGATTGAGGAGATCTTCAAGAAGCACAACCACGGCTTCATGTGGAACGAGCATCTGGGCTACATCCTGACCTGCCCCTCCAACCTGGGCACTGGCCTGCGCGGTGGAGTGCACGTCAAGCTGCCCAAGCTCAGCACACATGCAAAGTTTGAGGAGATCCTGACCAGACTGCGCCTGCAGAAGCGTGGCACAGGTACAGCACACAACTCTAGCGTCAGTCAGCAGACATTTCACTCACTAACAAGAAGCAAATGAGGTGGTCTTCATTTGAATTGCACAATTTGTACATATGGCAAATCAAAGCGTTTTACTAAACAAGAAAGGAAACCTTAAATTCATACACACACAAAACAAACATAATATGCTACTTTCCAAAAGTAGTTCAGATCAAACATTTCAGTTGTCACACAGGTATTTAGACCTGTTTTAAACCTGCTCACTGTCTGAGTAGAGGCCTGTTGCACAGGGGACTGTTTCAGATTTAAGCTGCATAAATCTTCATGCTGGCTACTCAGCAGGAGTCCAGTCCCTGTGCTCCTCAGAGTCCCAGCAGGAGGCCAGTCCCTGTGCTCCTCAGAGTCCCAGCAGGAGGCCAGTCCCTGTGCTCCTCAGAGTCCCAGCAGGAGTCCAGTCCCTGTGCTCCTCAGAGTCCCAGCAGGAGCCAGTCCCTGTGCTCCTCAGAGTCCCAGCAGGAGCCAGTCCCTGTGCTCCTCAGAGTCCCAGCAGGAGTCCAGTCCCTGTGCTCCTCAGAGTCCCAGCAGGAGTCCAGTCCCTGTGCTCCTCAGAGTCCCAGCAGGAGTCCAGTCCCTGTGCTCCTCAGAGTCCCAGCAGGAGCCAGTCCCTGTGCTCCTCAGAGTCCCAGCAGGAGTCCAGTCCCTGTGCTCCTCAGAGTCCCAGCAGGAGTCCAGTCCCTGTGCTCCTCAGAGTCCCAGCAGGAGCCAGTCCCTGTGCTCCTCAGAGTCCCAGCAGGAGCCAGTCCCTGTGCTCCTCAGAGTCCCAGCAGGAGTCCAGTCCCTGTGCTCCTCAGAGTCCCAGCAGGAGTCCAGTCCCTGTGCTCCTCAGAGTCCCAGCAGGAGTCCAGTCCCTGTGCTCCTCAGAGTCCCAGCAGGAGTCCAGTCCCTGTGCTCCTCAGAGTCCCAGCAGGAGCCAGTCCCTGTGCTCCTCAGAGTCCCAGCAGGAGTCCAGTCCCTGTGCTCCTCAGAGTCCCAGCAGGAGTCCAGTCCCTGTGCTCCTCAGAGTGTACTTCAGGGCTCTAACACTGTGTTGTGTGCAGGTGGTGTGGACACTGCCTCCGTGGGTGGTGTGTTTGACATCTCCAATGCTGACCGTCTGGGCTCCTCTGAGGTGGACCAGGTACAGCTGGTGGTGGATGGAGTGAAGCTTATGGTGGAGATGGAGAAGAAGCTGGAGAAGGGAGAGGCCATTGATGGCATGATCCCCGCTCAGAAGTAATGTGCGTCTGGAGGTTCTTTTCCACTAGGACAGGAGCCAGTGGCCTTGCTGTGAACTGCTCTTCCCGGCTGCTCTCTTCTGAATGGCCTCTCTTTTTCTACTCTTTTCTCTGTGGTCTGATGTGAGTTCATGCTCTAATGCCCTGGGATCAATCCATGCACGGTCAGAAGGAGACCGTGCACCACCCAACACCATACTGGCTGTAAATGTTACTGGACGAATAAAACATGCTCCATTGTACCCACCTCTGTGTCTCTTACCCTTTGTGATCCATTACCACAATTATTTAAGAAAAAAAACTAAAAAATGGTCAGGGGTTTCTCAACTGATTCAGACTAATGTTGGTGTTCTGAGTCTGAATATCTCATGCATTTGTCTCTATCAGGTCAACTTTGTGAGATACAGCCATAGTGTTACGGATTACGTACGTCTACGTTATTATGAATTCTGCTTATCAAATTTGATGGGAGTAAATAAAAACTGAATGACTTTGGATACGTTGACTTTTATTTCTTGAGGAAAACGGAAAAAACGTCAAAATCGATTAAAAAAAATATTTCTATAGCAAAAAATCCTGACCTGATTGAGCAAAACCAAGGTCATTTTCGGACTCAGAGCATCAGCATTAGTCTAATTCAGCTGAAAAACCCTGGACTATTTTCAAAATATATTTTTGTGTTACCCAGTGTAATTAGTCTTTAAAACTCATATTCTGCGAATGTGCATGAGAATAAATAACAAATAATGTTGTTCATTTGCACAGCATTTCTTTAGTATAATGTATAAGTTAAAAGACATTTAAACAGTGAGACAGCCTCTGTTTAGTAATAAGGATCACATTGTGCTCTCTGGTTGGTCGACAATATGGCTGCACATAGTTTAGGGTAGTTTACATATTTGGCTTGTGTCTGAAAACATGTATTGAAACTAAAACCTTTACAGTCAGACAATTAATGCCACACTGTGGCCCTCAAGAACAGGTTCTCCTCCAGATGAGAATGTGGCAGTTTGTGAAGATGGCAGCCC